GTTTTGAATCTTATTTTATTTATTTATTTATTTTTACTTTTGCTACTTTTATAGTATTCGGCGGTTCAAGAGAGTTTAATTAAAGTTGTGTTGTTTAAATATGATTTGTTGATGATGAAACAAAACAATGATTAGAAACTTTGATATGGAGAAAGTAAGAAGTGGGCAACTAAAAACAAATGGTGTCTAAGAAAAGGATGGGAGACAACTTCATCCTATCCAATCATTAATGCTTCCATGGTCCAATCACTTTTCTTACGAATGTCAATAATATTTTATTTTGCTTTGTTTTTGTTTTGTTCCTCTATATACAGTTGATCATATTACATAAGTATTTTTTATATATCATAAGGTTGACACTTTTAGTTTGAATAAAATAAAAAGAAAAAGAAAGAGAAAAAAAAATTTCAAGACTTAACTAGTAACATCGTATAATGTTTTAATGGGCATATATATTTATCAAAGTAAACTTATCGTATATGTATTATCTTCTTGTTTGATGCCTTTTGTTGTAAGATTTGTACAATAATTAACGGCGCCCATCTGCTGATTTTAAATGCCTTATATAATAATAATAATAATAATAATAAAACATTTATATATAATTTTTTTATACAAATAAAAATCTTCATAAGTGGATATTTGTTATAAAATTAGTTAAAACAAAAATTATCATCGATTCGTCACTAATATGTCAATCCATCATAATCTCTCACTAATATTTATGTAAGTCAAAAAAAAATTGAGCCTCATAAACAACATGCCCTTGTGGAGTGGTACATCTGACACATGCTCATGGTCCGTCCTAATAAATAAAAAAATTGATGCACAACTTTGTTGTTATATAAAACTTGTGTGTACTTAAAAATCGCAAAATTGTTTTAATTCAAAGAAAAATCCCCCAGTATAAAGGGTTTTTTATTGTGATATATGTAGTGAAGAACATCTTTTGTTTCTTTTGAAATTTTAGGAAATCTACATGTGATGAACAAGTTGTGACTTGAGGTGTTGATATTAGATAATGTTCACATGTGCGGCCTAAGTAAGATCCCTTTTGAAGAATAGATATCGGAAAATAGCAAATGTGGAGCTTACTTCATGTGAAAGTTACTTTGGCACCAATGGTGTGTTAGTGTTATAAAATTTGGGGTGTGATATCCTATGGCCTCTCCACTTTCATTTTTGTTTTTATTATCAATCTTATGAGATGAGATATATGATAGGATGTGTATATGAATTCCCATTCCCATTCCCATTATTGTCTTATTTTGTTTTCTAGTGTTATTCATTCACATCATCCAACTTTTGGACACACATTGAGATGCTAATGATTGTTTTAATGTGGCATGATTTTGACACCGTGTATTATTGCACAAAGTGAGTTGGGCATTATACCTTGTTTTCTTTTAAAGTTCATCATGGGGTGAATTTACAAAGTTGGCTAGTAAATTGTCGGCATAGTTTTGTTGATTTGTTCCATGCATAAGATGAACTAGATTATGAAACTACAAATGCTCATGTTGTTTTTCATATTCGCAAGTTTAGTCTCAATTTTTCATTTTTTATTTTTATTTTTTTAGGAATGGTCCATATGGTTCTGAATTCTTGTATGGTTGGTCAATTCTTGTATGGTTGGTCCCTTATCATATAAATGAAATTACTACTTTCTATAATTTATTATATAATTTTTAATTAAAACATAATTCAACTCCATTCGCTTACTACATTCCAGAATTTATTTTATAATTTTTAATTAAAACAAAATTCAACTCTATTCGTCTGTCTATCAAATGGGTGGTGAATTGGAAGTGAATACAAGATTCTAAGCACCAACTTTGATCATCGACATCTTCCGACTACCATCACGCTCCGGTAGCCGAAATCGACAAAAACCGCATGTCATGACACATACACCATTTCTTCCATCTCCTTCTCACTTCCTTTCATGATTTCTCTTCTTTTCCTATTCTGTCTCTCTCGTGCTCTCTGATTTAATCGAACATACGCAAAAACAATGACAAAGCTTGAATTTTTTAATCAAATTCATAATCCTCAATTCAATTTTATGCCTTCAGTTTGATTAGTTCGAATTCAAAAGGTTCTTCATGATTTTAGTGGGAACTTCATGATTTGAGTTCAATTTCAATGGATTCTTCATCATTTCAGTGTTTTCTACACTCATAATTTTAAAGTTTTAGTAGGGAAAGGACATCTAGAAGCTAAAATGTGTGGGTTCTTCCATTTCAATGGGATCTTCACCATTAAGAGAGAGAGAGAGAGAGAGAGAGAGAGAGAGAGAGAGAGAGAGAGAGAGAGAGAGAGAGAGAGAGAGAGAGAGAGAGAGAGAGAGAGAGACTCATCAAGATGTGGATCTTGACTAGGATAGAGAGATCCATGTTTTTTTTATTATATATATATATATATATATATATATATATATATATATATATATATATATATATATATATATATATATATATATATGTCATTTTTATGGGTAAGAAACCAACCACACAAGAAATTTAAATCACATGATCATGTGGCGGAAAAAAATTAGGGAGTAAATTTTCAAATTTCAGAAGCTATATAGACCAACTATCAATTATACCCACCACTAATCACTATAGTAGTGGGTGTCACGTCGTCAACACACTCTCAAACACTAACCATAGGATACCTACCACTAAACATATCATTCCACCTCATTTTTTTAAGAAAATCTATAGAAAAATCCTAAATTTTTGGGAAAAGTTTCAATAAAGTCATTTTTTTTAACAGAAAACTTCTATTATTTTAAGAAAATAAAATAATCTATCATTTACTGGTCAAATATAAAAAATAATTTTTTTGTTAATTTAGACAAAATGTTAAATAGTCGGAAATTTTCTGTTAAAAAAATTTTTTAGGACCTTATTGAAACTTTTCCCAAAAGTTTGAGATTTTTTTATAAATTTTCCTTTTTTAAATGAAAAAAAAACATAAAAATCATATATAACTTTTTTAAAAATACTTGTTTTCATTAATTTAAAATCTCAAATTACATTAATTAAATTTTTAAAAAAATAAAAATAAAAATTACATTAATTAAAATAAAAAATAAAAAAATAAAAAACCTAAAATTACCAAGCTTAACTTAAAAAAATATCTCTATTCCTACGTCGGACACGAATAGACTCCATCACGAGAAATTGCTCCAAATCTTCGACTTCGAGGTCGTCCGCTTTCATTTTAAAGATTTTCATTTCAATTTTTGTTTGAATCATCGATTGTGTTTCTAAATTTTTTTGTTTTACCCGACTCAGCATCTCCGCCTTCTTTTCTTAAACGTACACATAACGATCAAATTTCTCCCAAAATTGATCCATAACACCAGATCCCAAAACCGTTGAAGCCGCTTTTTTTGCTTTATTTCTTCCAACGGATCGACGAAAAGGTTGTTCGTCTTCAAGATCGAGCGGATCATCGTTGATGTCGAAATGTGTTCGCCCGTCCAATTGTTGAGACGTTGCATCATGGTTTCTTGAACGCTTTGAACCGGAAAATTGTGAATTTCCTTCCGTTTGCTCTTTCTATTTCGGAGCATCTTTCAACTTTAGCCAATGTTTTACATACAAAAAAGTTTTGCGGGTTCGCGTTATTTTTTCAAATTGGTCCAAAGCCGCCTTGAAGACATCAAAATCGTTTGTCCTGCTTTTTCGTATGTTTAGGATGTTGTAAATTTCTCCAAATTCGGTGCATTTTAGTCGAATATCACGCCATTTAGAGCTAATTTGATCGGGATTTCGGTTTTCACTTCCCATTAGCTCATAAAACACCACACGAACTTTCTCCCAAAACAACTGAACGTTTGACTATCGTCTTCGATTGGGTCTTGGGAAACCGAAATCCATGTCTCAACTAGCTTTTCTTTTTCAGCTTTTGTCTATGGGACCCTTTCTTGGTGGTGTTGAGTCGAACCGTTTTTTTTTTTTTTTTTTCTTTTTAGGTTGAAGTGGTGGTGAATGTTGAATTTCCGAAACAAAATCCGATAAATGAAGGGGTTGTGATGATTGTGATTGGAATTGTTCTTGGAGTAGTTGTTGGAATTGTTGGAAAGTTTGACATTGTTAAAAGTTGTTCCTGTTGGAAGCCAGAAAAGCTTTATATTGTTGTTGGAAAAGTGTAATTCGTTGGTTAGGGAAACTGATTTAAAGCAAATTGACAAAATCACCTTACAGTGATTCCATGGTCGGGAATTAGCAAGAGGTTATCTCTAATGCAAAAGTGTTATCGGGTATGCGATTTTTATAGTTTGGATGGGTGTTTTGGTTAGAATCCATGGTTTTGGTTGTAAATATGTTGTCTATTTTGTGTATAGAGTAAGAAAAGAATAGTTTAAGAAATAAGGTTTAGAATGGGGTATTTATAGGTGAAAATGGTATGTAAAAAAATTTATTTAAAAAAAAAAAATTTAATTATTTTGGCCGATCAACGGCTAGTCAAATGGTCAAGGAAGTACTCGAGCTCTATTGGGCGTTTGGTTTCGTCATCCGGAGAACATTGCACCACGACAGACCGGGAAGTGTGCACGGCCGTGGTCATGGTCCAGCTCAACCAGACAACCACGAGCCTTCTCGTGCCAAGTATATCGGTTGGCCTTATGTAATTTAGTCACGATACAGTTAAGGTATGAATTATGATAGATATATCATTTTAAGAAACATGATACTGATTATAATCTTGGTATGTTATAATGTTAGCATTAGGGAAAGATCATGTTAAACCAAATATCACAAATCATGTTGGTGAACATAACCTTATAGAGGTAATAAGATGTTCACTTACATTGTACATGAAACCATTCAAGCTTTCACTCATACTTCATGTCACCACATTCATCTAAAGTTGTTATTAAGAAATTGGAACATAGTGTTTCACCCGAATCAAGTTGTTCTACTTCAATTCAATTTTATAACATCATATTACCTTAATCATGCTAACTTTGAGGCTTCAATTGTGTTTCAAAAATCAAAACTATCATAAGTATAGAGAGTTGAAAACTAGTGAAATTTATCAGTACTAGGGTGTATGTATTAATTGTGTTTCTAACATGATTACCGATTATGTGCAGCAGCAGCTGTACTACTTCTTGTTGACTTGACACGCGCCTTCCTCCCCTGTAATTACCCAAAATAACATCATACTTTGATTTATACTATTTTTTTAAATAATGAAGTATTATATATGAATATATGATTACCTTCCCCATGCATTTTTCCAAATGAGGAGCGAATCTTCCAGCAACAATAGCTCTACCACAGTTCATGCAATCGAATATTTCAGTGGCTACAGGAGGATGAGTTTGACCAAAAATGTCAACAACATATTTGCTATTTGTTTCACTATTGCTTGGATCTGCTACTCTTGCCCTAGCTTGTGCTGATAGCCTTAGTTCTTCTTCTTCATCATCTAGATTTCGGTCAAGTCCCAATCTTGCAATTCGGTGACACTCAGATGAAACATCCATGATTATAGAGCCTAGAAGTTCATCAAACAAATGAGATGCAAGCTGCATAAACAAAATCCCACCTTCGTAAATGTTACTCATAATCATGATTCTCAAAGGCAAGAGCTATATTGCAAAATGCAAACCCATGTATCCTAGATTTGGAACTTTGATGATGAACGTAAATTTTGAGACACCCAAATACGTATTGAAATAAGTATTCGAGATACGAAAATTGAAGAAACCTGTGTATTCTCAGCCGGGGAAGACATGATTCTTGACAACCAGAGTGTTCGGTACCTAATAATAATCATAGAGTGTTGATTAGAAAAATTAGTACCAATTAATCGAAAAACGTACACAGATCCGAGAATTAGGGTTTGCTCATCAGCAATCGTACGATAAAAGCAACAAACACAGTTTAGGGATTCAATTATAAACCTAGAAAATACTCCGTGGAATCATACCGAATACCAGAAACTACGAAGATATCAATAAAAACCAGTAAGAAATTCTGATTAACTCAAACTTGATCAAAAGACGCTAAGATTAATCAAGCAGTTGGAGGTACAATGGAATTAGCAATATATAACGGAAATCATTAACGCGAGTGATATAGACAACATACCTTAAAAGAAGTCGCTCGGAAAGCAAATGGTGGGGATTTCGCCGGGATAATCAATTTGATGGTGGCAGAGGAGAACGGGAGGAGACGGAGTGAGGGGAGAATTACGGGTTATGGATCGGGAAAAGGTCCGATTCGTATTAATTTTTGTTGTCTGCGAAAAAGATTTTTTGTATCTAGAAAAACAAAAAATGACAGCTGTGGGATTTGAACCCACGCCCTTTCGGACCAGAGCCTAAATCTGGCGCCTTAGACCACTCGGCCAAACTGTCAGATGGTATTCATTTGTAAAAGAAAGTATATTACATTAGCCGTTGGTATCATCGTGAAAAAAAAACTAATTAAACGCATATTCTTCTCATTGTTAAATATTTTTGTTACAAAACTAATTAGGATGCATCCATTTTCTATAAAGTCTATACGAAAATAGATATGAAAATATCAACATGTGCATGTACCCAGTTCGATATGGCAATTTAAATATGCTTATATGTACAAATATTTAATTACTCTAATTTCTATATATTAAAACTAGGTATATTCATAAAAAGTGGCATTTTAAAGTTTGCAATATTTTAAATAATCTTCTCTAATAAATAAAAGTTTTTTTTTTTTTTTTTGTCACTTGTCAAACTCTCCTTCAATTTGTCAAATGTCATTTTGTGGTTATTTTGAATTATTTTTTTTCTACGTGTCATTTTAGGGAAAATTACAGAAAAACCCAACCTTTTATCATATTACATTCAAAAAAACTCTTATATTATATTTACCTTCACAAAAGCCCTTACATTATAAAATACCTTTCATAAAAACCCAAATAACCCGTTACATTACTTGATGACCGGATGACCTATCATAAAGAAAAGACCCACGTGAATAAACTTAAAACCCCCCTTTTATGCATTGATAATAACTTACAGTCGATTAAAACCAAATCAAAACATAAGGAATTAGGGTTTGTCCCATCTCACTACTTCATCTCTCTACTTCGATTTCAACAGAAAAATATTTTAGGATCGTATGAAATTTAAGAAGGAAGGTGATCAATCCCAACCACTAGTTTGTTTCTCTGTTAAAAAGGGTGTACTTGAATGCGATCGTGAATGACAACAAGGAAGCAGTAGCTGCACTTCACACACGAATCAATGGCTTCTTCTTCATCATCTTCAAAATATAGATGCAGGTCGGTAAAACAACTGAAAGAAAAAGAAGATTTAGATCGTTGTGGTTGTGGTTACGAATCCAGAATGTGGATTTCAACTACGACTAAGAACCCTAAAAGATGGTTTTACAAGTGCCCTTATTGGGTAAGTTCATAAATAGATGAAATAAAAATGTTTTAGCTTCTTTTTTACTTACTTTCTAACTCACTGCTCAAGGTTCAAGTGAATATTGCAAGTATTTTAACTTGATTGACCCGGAGTTGAATGGGTACTATAAAGAAGAAATGAATAAGCTTATTGCTGAATCAAAGTTGAATGGGTACTATAAAGAAGAAAGGAATAAGCTTATTGTAGAATTAAAGGGAATGAAGGCAAATCTTGAAGTGTTAGAGAAGGGAAAGAAGCCAAATATTGAAGTGTTTGAGAAGAAGAACAATAGTTTCAAAGTAATTGTTAGCTTATTAGCATTTGTGTTTGTTGTACTCATTATCAATTGGTTTGCAATTAGTGTTTTCAGGGATTAAGTGTTGTATCTAATGGTTGTTGAAATATTAAATTTAGGAAGTAGGTTTCTTACTGTTTGTTGATGTTAAATATCATACTATTAGTAGTCTTTATTGCTTTTGTTGTGTTGTAAGGGTATGTAGTTTTTGTTGTACTCATACAAAGTTTGTTGTGAAAATAGTTCATGTTTTTAACAAAAGTTCTATAAGGGCAATTTAGTATACAAGCTTGTTGATCACAATTATAGTCCCTCTTTTGTGCAGATTCAAAATGAAATAGGCTTGTCTATCACAATTATGGTTCCTGTATACAGATCAAATATTAAGAAAAGAAATGGTCCAGGAACATAAGTGATGCTTTTGTTGATCTGTTCAATACTCAAGACGAGCAAACATGACATATATTATATGCATACTGTATTTCAAACATATGGTCCCTGTTGGCGTTTTTTTAATACAAAAATGGTCCTTGTCGGCATTTTTTTTTTTACAAAAATGGTCTCCGTCAACTTTTTTTTTTAACAAAATGGTCCCGATAAGAAATTTCTTCTACAAACATATATGTAAGCACAAACAAATTGCATTAAGATAACAAAATGACCCTTACAAAGTGCAGAAACATTGCATTGAGTTTTCAAAAAGGCTACTACTAATTGCATAAATACTGCATAGTGTTTTAAATGCAAAAGGTTTTTTAAACATTGCCCACTATACAAAAAGGGCTATTAATTCCACCTACTAAATCTTTCTTGTTTTCATAATTTCAATATTAGTTTGGTATGATGTTCCAAAAATCTTCAGAATCTTCCTCATCTCTCACCGGAACCTCTTGAAGATCACCATCTGCATCATATTGCGTCTCAGGGACACAAGTTTGTGTTTGACTGTTAGGCACTCCTTCATCATCATAAATAACATGTTCGTTTTCATTTTCTACATAGAAAACTAAAGATTAAAAAAAACCTCCATAAATAACATGTTTTGTTTTAAGGTGTAGACAACTTACCCATATAATGATCCACAAAATCATCATCGTCATTTATTATAACTCTCACACCTCCTCCTCTATCTCCAGCCCGTCCTCTATTTCCTCCTCTACTTCCTCTTCCACATTTTATACGATCATCAAAATCGTCATTTCTAGGCCTTCCGGTCGGTCTTTTTGGCTTGGGAGGGGGTAGTTGTTTCTCATTCTTGCATGTTCTAGCATTATGGCCAATTTGTAAACAAATACGACAAGTTTCTGGCCTCCCTGCATTTGAAACAGTTGGATACTTGGATTTGTTTTCAATCTCATGTCTCTTCCTTTTAATAGTAGGTCTGCTTGGCATCCTCCTTTCTTTTGGTGGCAAAGGCTTTTTGTAAGGTGTTTTTGGCCACATTTTACTTCCATTCATGGGATTGATTGTCTTGGTATATGCTGCTATGAATTTATCCTTACTAAACCATGTACTCAAATAATCTTTAGGATCAATGTGGCAATAGTTCAATGCTGCACCAGCATGTACACAAGGAATGTCGGATAATTACCATAGCTTGCAACTACAGTAGTGTGCATTTAAGTCAACCTTGTATGCATCGTATCCATTTCTTATTTCAAACACACTTCCTCCAGCAGGGTAGACTAGCCAATTTCTACAATATAAGAAAAATGTGATAATAATTATTTAAGAAAACAAACTTAAAAACCAATCATATTTCAAATAATTTATGGTATTAATTACCTCATGTTTGTATGGAAATAATTCATTTTTTTACTTATATTTGGACAAATTTCCTTTTCCCATGTTTTTGCTTTGCTTGACATAACTTCAAACCGCTCCATGCAATATAATCTAATTCCCTCTAACATCGTAAGTAATGGTTTTCTTCTTGCTTCCACAATCACAGAGTTGAAAGACTCTGAAATCCCATTCTCAACTGCCCCGCAAGCCCTATCAACTTCAAAAAATGCCCTAGACCATGTATTAGGATCCCTTTTTTTGTTAGATGGTCATAAGCTTCTTGGCTAAACTTTCTTAATTCTTCCATGTTACTCTTAAAGCCTTCTTTTGTGGTTGACATGCAACATCGCCAAAACATCTTCTTATACATCTCACCATTGAAGTTCTTCCTAAAATTCGCATAAATATGTCGTGCACATTGTCTGTGTTTAGCATATGACATTAGTTCCTTCACACTTTCAACAAGCCCCTGTTTTGGACACATTAAAAATAATAATATTTTTTTACTGTTTTTGTACAGATTGAAAAAAAAACCTTTTTTTTTTTTTGTTTTTTTACTGTTTTGGACAGATTGAAAATAAAACTTATTATTATTATTATTATTATTATTATTATTATTATTATTATTATTATTATTATTATTGTTTTCACTATTTTTGAACAACCTTGAAGTACCTCTTGACAGAAATTTTAATGTTTGTAAAAAATACCTTATGTTGGTCTGAAATCAAAGTAAGACCTCTTCCTTGTTCAAAACAAATGTCTGCACCTAACAGTTCAACGAACCACTTCCAGTTGTCTTTGTTTTCAACGTTTACAACGGCCCAAGCTATGAGATAAATTTCATCGTTTGCATCTCTTCCGATTGCAGATAATAGCTCTCCTTTAACTCGTCCCTTCAAGAAACAACCATCCAATCCAATTACCCGACGACAACTGTTGTTCCAACCATCTTTTAAGGCTTTAAAGCAAATGCAGATACATTGAAAATAATTGCCATTCGGATTACTTTTTACTCCAATATTTACGGTACTACCCGGATTTGACCTAAGAATTTCTTGGCCATAATCCAAAACTTTTGCATAATGGTCTGACAGTTTCCCCTCGATTAAAAATAATGCCTTAGCTCGTGCCCTTTGACACTGTGGAGTATTTACCTTGCAAGAAAATTTCCTTTGAATATAAGCTTTCAGTTCTCTTATTTTCATTGTGGGATTTTTATCATCTCATCCACATAATGTTTAGCAATCCAGGAGGGAGTAACAAGAGTCCCAAACTCGAAACTTCTACAACATCTATAATTATCATTCAAAGATTTAACTTGGAAAGTTGTTTCATTTCCAATCCAAGAAGCATACAACCTATACGGGCACTTTTTTTGTTATTTTCTTTCCCACAAACTACTAATATCCTATCATGATCACTTTTAGCAAAACGTAACTGAAACCCATTTGCCACAACGTAGTTTCTAACACAAAATTTTAGTTGTTCCGGACTCTCGTACTTTTCTCCCAATTCAGGTTTCATCTTTCTCCAATCAACCGAAGCGTTGTGAATATTATATTCGACCCCGATTTCTTCGTTTTCTCCATCCGCATTCCAGTTGTGTTTTCCAAATTGTAAATCATCATCATCATATGGCTCTTCTTCATATTCATCTCCTCGATACAATTTTCCTATTTCAGCATCTTCTTTATGACGAGGGCATAACAAATACAAAAAAGGATCATATGTGGTTTTTGTCATACTTGTGTCAACATCTTCCTCAAAATGGGCATCTATAAACATATCATCTTCTATATCAAGACATAATGACCCTATAGAATATGTATCTGTAGAAGACTCAACATATTCCTCGTCTTCACTATCAGTGTTTCCTTCTTCACTCAAGTAAAATACTGAAGATGAAGCCATGTTCACTGATTGGTGATTAATACTCACTACAAATACAAGAAATCACTGATTAAGAACAAAAAATACAAAATAATGACACCTATTTGACGACCAAAAAAACATTATCATATTTTCTTCACTCAAATTAATACCCACTGCAAATACCATTACCACTTATTAAAGACCAAAAGAAACCTACTACTAATTTCAAGGCAATAAAAAAATTATCATGTTTTCTTATGAAAAACATAACCCTACCATTGATTTCGAGACATATAAAAGAACATTTATCACGTTTTTGTGTGTAACGTATCTAGAAGATATCATACTCCTGCCATTAAACCAAAAATATAAAATGGCATGTGTTTACCTGTTGAGAGATGTAGCTTATGGAGCTTTGTCTTGTTCCTGAGAGACAAACCAGATGAGAGAGGCAAACGACAGAAACCCTATGTCTAATTGTGTGTAACGTATCTAGAAGATATCATACTCCTGCCATTAAACCAAAAATATAAAATGGCATGTGTTTACCTGTTGAGAGATGTAGCTTATGGAGCTTTGTCTTGTTCCTGAGAGACAAACCAGATGAGAGAGGCAAACGATAGAAACCCTATGTCTAACTCTGTAACATCCCAATTTTCAAGGCCAGAATTTCATTTTAATATATAAAAATTTAGAAAACATTTATAAGAAACATCATAGTTTCACATCATATCATAAAACCATATTCACATGTCTCAAAAAGCATTTCATGAAGTAGTAATAATGTCAGAGTACAATCCCGAGAATCTTATGATGTGGAAATCCTGTGTGTGTGTGTGTGATGTGCTAATACCGCGCCAGCTCCTTCCGCTTTGTTGAAGATGTACCTGAAAACAAAACTGAAATTGTAAGCACAAAGCTTAGTGAGTTCCCCACATCATACCACATACCATACATAACACATACTGAATAACATAACTGGGTACTAACTACCCGTTCGGTCCTGTCGACCGGTACTTTGCCTAGCATATCTGGGTGCTGGCCTCCCTTTTAATCCTGTTGAGCGGTACCTTGCCTAGCATATCATGGTGCTGGCCTCCCCTTCGGTCCTGTCGACTGGTACCTTGCCTAGCATATCTGGGTGCTGGCCTACCCCTCCGGTCCTTTCGACTGGTATCGGGGACTATTTCACCCCCTCCTCTACCACATAGCATCCTAGTGCATAAAAATACAATTCATATACTTCCTAACTTATATAGGTGTTGTTATACCCCTTCGACCCTATCGACCAGTACTAGGATCTATCCAACCCCTTCTATCAGATATCACATAACATCATAACATACTAGCACATAATTATAACAGATAACAATATACCAGATAATTATCACAAAGACAATTATCTCTACTATAACTCTTACTAGTGGGCCGACCTTGGTGCCTTTGACCCACTTCTACTGAAAGGTAACTCACCTCAATGTTGTGAAGTGTCTAAACTGTCCTTGATGCAGGGATCACCTCCTCTCAACTCCTACACATAACTTTCCTTAATTAACATTTCATACTCTTAACCCTTTCAGGGGTCAACTCAGGTCAAATTCCAAGTCAAGGTCAACACCTTGGTCAAAGGCAACTCTTGGTCAAAGTCAACATATGATTAACACAACTCACCAAGTTGGTCCACCAACTCATCGAGTTCCATAATCCTCAAAGTACTGGACTTTGATCCTACTCGTTGAGTCTTTCAAGAACTTGCCAAGCTCTCCTTCATTCAGAATCGGGAACTTTTGCTCCCGACTTGCTAAGTTCATCCTTGAAAGCGTCGAGTCCTACTTCATGTAAGTTGGCACGTTTAGTCCTAGACTCGCCGAGTTCTTCCTTGAACTCGTGGGGGATATTTCCTTGTACTCGTTGATTTCATCCTTAAACTCGTCAAGTTCTTTGATTTTCAAGTCCATATTCACATCCATTTTGTTGAGTCCTCTTTTAGACTCAACCAGATCGATCAGAAACAGAAAAGATTGGGGAACCATACCCTGACTTGACAAGTCCCATGAACGAATCGTCGAGTCCCCTAAAGTCCGTGTCTATCCAGTCGATTTCATTTGGGCTTAATGCATCCAGACCATAGATCTGACCTCCTAGGGTCGATATAGCACATAAAGTCACAAAATTTACATGCATGCATGGGTTAACTAGCTCATAAGGACCTAAAATGAAGTTTACATGGTGCATGGTACTCCTATGGACATTAAGTTGGCACCTTTATTCCATGGGAACCCTTAATGGTTCAGGATTTGAATGTGCAACCCCAAAGAAGTACACAATCTCGAAAATCGCTTCACTGTGACTTAGAAAAGGTAGAAAATAGCCCTAAATGGAGATCTATGGAATGAATAGTCAAGGTATCAACTTTATACCTCAATTTAGTTGGAAATGTGCCAAAACCTCTGGATCTACTTGCTTTCCCTTGATCTCCCAAGCCTCCTCTTTCATCTCAAGCATCAAAGACACACACAAATGACACAAATGCTCAAGAACACTCAATAATCAATTAAGGTTTCGTGAAGAGAGTATGAGGGTGATGGAGGCTAGAGTGGAGATGCTATAAGTTGTTTAAATAGGGTGCAAACCCTCAAACTTAGGGTTTCATCCAGACAGGTCTACTCGTCGAGTCGGGGCTTCTGACTCGGCGAGTAGATTCTTCCAGTCGTGTCCAAGTTTTGCCTCTATTTGATGAGTTGGGGCCTCCAACTCGTCGAGTCCCAGAGTAAAAGTGAAAAAAATCTTATTTAAAATACGTACCAAGTCCCAAGCATTAAAAATCTCCCCCGCTTATTTTAGACTTCGTCCTCGAAGTCTGCTGCTGCAGCTGGAAAAAGCTTGGGGTAGTGCTCCCTCATCTCGTCCTCTGGCTCCCAAGTCCATTCTGAGCTCTTGCAGTGTTGCCATTGCACCTTCACTACCTCGACCCTCTTGTTCCTCAGATCCTTCAACTTCCTGTCGAGGATAGCTACTGGTCGCTCGATGTAGTTCGGGCTGTCATCCACGTAAATATCCTCTAGAGGCACCACTGAAGAATCGTCTACTAGGCACTTCCGCAACTGGGAGGCGTGAAAGGTGTTGTGTATCTGGCTAAGCTTGGCTAGTAGATCCAACCTATACGCCACCTTGCCCACCCGGGCTAAAAACCTGAGAGGTCCAATGTACCTGGGGCCTAACTTGGCCCATTTCTTGAACTGGATGACACCTTTCCAATGTGACACCTTCAGGATGACCATATCCCTGACTTGGAACGCTAGATCCGAACGGTGCTTGTTGGCATAACTTTTCAGCTATCTCTAAGCTTTCTGAAGCATGCTATGGACCTGTTGAATCCTCTCCTTCGTCTTGAGTACCACTTCGGTACTCTTCATGACCCTCTGTTCAACCTCACCCCAACATATCGGGGTTCTGCACTTCCTCCCGTATAGCATCTCGAAAGGAGAACGGTCAATACACACGTAGCAGCTATTATTGTAGGAAAAATATGCCAAGGGAAGGTAGGTATCCTAGCTACCACCAAAGTCTAAAATCCATGCCCATAACATATCCTCCAATGTCTGGATGGTCTGTTCGCTCTGAACATCAATCTACGGGTGAAAAGCGGTGTTGAAATACAGACGAGTACCCAACTCGTCGTGAAACTTCTTCCAGAATCTGAAGTGAACCGTACGTCTCGGTCGAAAATCATAGAAATTGGCACTCTGTGTCATGCTACTACTTCTCGAATGTAGATGTCGGCCAGCTTCTCAGCCGAGATGCTCTCCTGGATCGTTATGAAGTGGACACTCTTGGTTAACCGATCCACGATGACCCAAATTGAATCCAATCCCCGTGCGGTCCTGGGAAGCTTTTTGATGAAATCTAATGTAATATCTTCCCATTTCCGTATAGGGATATCCAACGATTGTGACTTTCCATGAGGCCTCTATTGCTCGGCCTTGACCTTCTTGTAGGTCAGGCATCTCTCGACGTACCAAGCTACATCTCGCTTCATGCAGGGCCACCAGTAATCAGGACGAAGATCTATGTACATCTTCATCGCCATGAGATTGATAAAAAAGATGGACTTTTGCGCCTCATCCATAAAAACCTGTCGTACTCCTCCCCAGTACGGAACCCGAATCCTCTTGTGTAGTGCCAGCAGCCCACGGTTGTGATAGTTAAACGAGGCCACCTGGCCTATGATCCGCTCGCACTTTTGGCGCTCTTCCTTCATACCCTCAACTTGCGCCTATCGGATCTGCTCCAAAAGAGGTGTCACCACTATCATCCTCAACAAAATGTCTTTGATCGGGGCTGGCTTGTGACTAAGAGCATTTGCCACAACATTGGCCTTCCCTGGATGGTAAAGGATCTCTCAACTGTAATCCTTTACCACAACTAGCCACTGGCGTTGCCTCATGTTTAGATTTGACTGATCCATGAGGTACCTCAAACTATTTTTGTCCGTGTAAATGGTACATCGGACCCGTAGAGATAGTGTCACCAAATCTTGAGGGCGAAGACAACTGCCCCCAACTCCAGATCATGTGTCGAGTAGTTCGCCTCGTGAGGCTTCAGCTGCCTCGAGGTGTAGGAAATATCATGCCCTCTCTGCATCAATATTACGCCCAAACCTGAAATAAACGCATCACAATATACTACAAAATCCTCCACGCTCTCCAGCAGGGCCAGAATCGGCGCCTCACATAGTCTCTGTCTCAATGTCTCAAACGTTGCCTGCTGCTCAGGCCCCCAATGAAAGACCACGACTTTCTTCGTCAATCGGGTCAAGGGTACGACTATCTTAGAGAAGTCCTGAATGAATCTCTGGTAATAGTCTGCCAATCCCAGGAAACTCTGAATCTCAGATGGAGACTTCGGAATCTCCCATCTAATCACGGCCTCCACTTTGGCCAGGTCGACCAAAATACAGTTCTGGTTGCCAAGGTGCCTAAGAAACAGCACCTGGCACAACCAGAACTCACACTTGGAGAACTTGGCGTACAAGCTCTCCCTCCTCAAGGTATCTAGTACCTCTCGCAAGTGCTCCTCGTACTTCTCCTGTATCTTGGAATAAACCAAGATGTCATCAATGAAAACTATCACAGATCAATCCAACATCGGTCTGCATATGCGGTTCCTGAGGTCCATGAACGCAACAGGAGCATTGGTGAGCCCGAAGGGAAACACTACGAACTCGTAGTGGCCATAGCGAGTCCGGAAAGCAGTCTTCTGTACAACATCGTCTCTGACCCTCATATGATGGTAGCCTGAATGCAAGTCTATTTCAAAAAACCAAGATTCCCCCTGTAGTTGGTCGAAGAGGTCATCAATCCTCAGGAGTGGGTAACAGTCCTTCATCGTTACCTTGTTTAGCTCCCGATAATCTATACACATCCAATGCGACCCGTCCTTCTTCTCAAATAGGATAGGGGCTCCCTAGGTCGAGCTTCTTAGCCTAATGAATCCCTTGTCTAACAGCTCTTGCAGCTGTGTAGACAACTCTTACATCTCTGCAAGAGCCAACCGATATGGTGCCTTAGCTATCGGAGCCGCACTAGGGACTAGGTCGATCCTAAACTCTACCTGTCTCTCCGGGGGTATCCCAGACAACTCTTCTGGGAATACATTTCGTACTCTCACACCACTGGTACATCACTCATAGTCACCTTACCCACCTCCCGGGTATCCATAACATAGGCAACATATCCTGCATAACCCTTTTGTAAGTACCTCTCGGCCCTCATTGCTGAACACATAGCTGGTCCACATTGCGGCCTCTCACCCTGGATCACCATCTCTTCCCCACTTGGGGTCCTGACACGTACGAATTCTTGCGCACAGTTGATCACCACCCAATTAGGTCTCAACCAGTCCATACCTATAATAACCTTATTCCCACGTAAAGGAATGGGAACCAAGTCTACTAGGTAGCGCTCCTCATATAGCCTCAAAACACGATCTATGAAAACCTCTGATGCTTGTATTGATCGATCATTAGCAATCTAGACCTCTAGAGGGTAATCTAACATGCCCGAGGACTCAAGGAACCTCTTGCTTAGTGCAATAGAGACAAATGATCGGGTAGCTCCCTAATCGAATAACACCTGGACTGGGATACCATTCACATGGAATGATCCTAAACAACACATAAAACATATACATAAATATCATAAAAGACATATAATAAGAGCTAGGGAGAAGAAAACATACCTGTCACCACATCGGGTGTGTCACGTGCCTCCTCACCGGTTAACTAGAAGGCTCGGCTCCTCACCACCGGATTGTCTGTCTTGCCCTATCATCTATTCCTAAGCCACAGGGTCGCTGGAGTTGGTGCCGCTACTGGCGATGCTGCTACTGTCAATCTCGGGCAATCAGCCTTTTTATGGCCCTTCTGATTGCAGTGTAAGAAAATCAGGTCTGATGTCTAAAATGTGGGGATAAGGGTAGTACAATCCTTGCTAAAGTGCCCGGTCTTGTCGCACTTGTAGTAGGACGATGATCCCAATCTACAAACTCCCTCATGGGTCTTGTCGCACTTCCCGCAATGGCCCTGACCCTATTGGCCTTTCGACCTAGTGTCGAATCCCTTTGGTTTCTTCCTCGAAACCCCAGTAACATGTCCATCCCCCGCCTTCCTCTTCCTAAGGTGCTCTATATCAATCTCCCTCTCCCTCGCCCTCGCAATCATGTCAGCCAATATCAGACATGCCGAGTAGCTGATATGTTTCCGAAGGTCAGCTCTCAACATGTCATGATAGCGGGTCTTTTGCATCTCCTCATCCCATGCATACTGAGGCACCAATAAGGCCCTCTCCCGGAACTTGGCAGTAATCTTAGCTATTGTCTCAGTAGTCTGTCTCATGACAAAAAATCTCCTTGGCTAGCTGTTGAAGCTCCACATCCGGTGCAAACTCTGCCCTAAACTTGGTCACAAATTCAGACTAGGTCATGGCCTCAATAGTTGAGGCTCCCAAAGAATCATTGACCGCCTCCCACCAAT